TAATATAAAATTAAATAAAAAACCATATGAAAATTAAAAATTAAGTAAAATTAAATATGAAAATAACCGATTATTCTTTTATACAGTGGTTACAAAATTTCTTAACCAATCTATAATATAAAAATATATCTGTAAGCACGCAAAGATAAAGAAGAATCCTTTATTTTATATAATTTTTAACTTTAATATTATATATATTGTTTTTCCAAACGCCTATTTTACTTTATGTGATTACATATCATACAACATCCAAGGTTTTTGTGTTTTTAAGGAAAGGGTTAATTTGATATTTGAAAAGGTTAATTTCCCCAAAAAATGTTATTCTGACGGAATTAACTATAAAAAGCAATGATAATAGTTTCACATACACCACTCAAAATAATTGTCATTTACTTATCATTTTGGTCAATCTAATCCTCGCTGTTTTGGTCTCCAACGGGTTTTTCTCTTCTATATCCATTGCTGGAATCGTCACCGATCAAAATTCTCTCCAACTTTCCTTTTATAAATTTCGCCCAGCATAGTTTTTTTCCATTCCCAAACCGCAAACGGACAATTATGTACTTGCCAGCACGTTCAATGATTGAAATTTGCGAAGTTGAGAGATCGATGAGGGAAAAGTGCTGACCTGACAGCAGCTTGATCACGAACTGCGTTGTGATATTTACTAACTTTGTCAATCCGACAGATAAATTATTCGTGACAATTTATCAAATAATATTAACGATATAGATGAAAATTAAGATAAGAAAATTATCTGTCCAACGAAACTACCCGTAGAGACCTAAATATTCCTTTTGTCCATGAAAGTCCCGTTACCGCAAATTTCTTAAAAATCTCCCAACACGATTCTGCATCATTGTTACCCATTTGAAGGTAGGTTTAATGAACTGTAAATAAAATTTGAAAAATCTAGCTCCAACAATTAAGGAGAAAACCTCTATTACGTTAGCCCGTGCATAATCAATACAAAGATATAGAAGAACAGATTTATTTAAAAAAACTCATAGAACTATTATCATGTTTGTCTTATATGATAGTTTATATTTTATTGACATACAGTTACATTTATTAAAGTTTTAACATCTCTTAGAAAACCAAACTCTTGAAGAAAAAAGATTGTTTCGAGGTGTTTTTAAATATAAAATAATAATTTTATAGATCAATTATTATATATTTAAAAATAGAAGAAGCATTTGTTTTAGATTTAATTTTATATCACATTATCTCAAATTAAAATAATTGGTTAATTTTTATATTTATTTTTTTATAGTTTGTTGAAGTCGTGAAGAGCGGACTAGAATGAGGTAGAAGAAGTAGGTAGACTTTTTTCATTTTTTTTTGTTAAAGTTTCGACCTTTATTTATTTCATCTTCAGTGCATAAAGTGCGGTATTGTCATGGTGCCATATTGGTTTGACATCACTTTCACACAAAAGCAATATGACACTACAAGAATAGCACCACACTTTATGCACTGAACATGACCGAGTAAAGGTCAAAACGTAGGCAAACATGAAAAAGGTGTTTTTCTAAACTACTTCATTCTTGACCAATCCTCACAACTTGAACAAATTAGAAACAACGGGTCTCCAAGAAACACACATTTTTTATAAATTTAATTGTAATTAATTTTCCATTTGTCTTGTAAGAGGTTTTTTCATGTAAAATAATTATTTTATAGAAGGGTTATTATATTCAATATTTATAAATAGAAGAAGCATTTGTTGTAAGATTTTACATTATATCACTTTATCTCAACTTAAAAGAAAAATCCTTTGTTTTCATTTTTTTATAAATTTTAATTTTAATTAATTTTCTAATTGTCTTCTCAGAGGTTTTTTAAATTATAAAATAATTCTTTTATATTATATTACTTTATCAGAAAAATCCTTTATTTTTATATTTATTGTATAAATTTTACTTTTAATTGTAATTAATTTTGTAATTATCTTCTAAGAGGTTTTTTAAACTATAATATAATTCTTTTATATTTACTTCATTTTTTTACCAATTATTTATAAATTGAAAATGGAAGAAACCTTGGTTGTTAAATTTAATTTTATATCACTTTATCTCAAATTAAAAGAAAATCCTTTATTTTCGTAAATTTTAATTTTAATTAATTTTCCCTTCTAAAAGTTTTTATTTGTATTTTTATTTTTTTATACTTTGCTTCTTTGTTAGTGTATATGTATGAGAAATTTTTGTCGTTTGTCTGCCGATTATTTGCTATTTATCCATGGCTATTATTATAAAATTTTAATTCACAGATAAACCTGTGAACGTTGAGATTGGCGATAAGAAAGGAGAACAACGACCGACGAAAGCTGACTTTATCCCGAAACGCGTCGGAATCCGGTCTATGAAAAAGCGAAGAGAAGCGGACCAGATTTGTTACGGCCATTACTAATTGCTATACACGAAGAATAACATATTGGATTTTATTTTTATTAGAGCTACCCGAGTGTTTAAAAATAGAGTTATTAAGACAGAAACATTTAAATGGACGCGTCAAATTAAAAAAAAAATTATCGGCATGCCTGTAACATAAGCGATATGTAAAAACCAGAATTCCTCATGTAGGCGGCTGTTATTTCATACCTGCGATCGTTTTATGTAAAAGTTCATGGCCCTCGTCTCTTAAACGTATTGTCTTCTCGGATCTTCGCGAGATAAAAGGCCCATTGTTAGAACCCGGCCCGTCGGAATTCGCGGTGTCGAAGGTGTTCCGGGGGATTTTTCCGATAATCCGAGACAGAATTTTCACACTGTGCTCCCTCGCCGGCCGGTTTTTCGCGAGGAAAACGTCCCCGGGTCAGGACGGCGCATTACCAACAGCCCGGGGTTAATAACTTTCAAAGCAACCGGTTTCCGAGATGAATGGAACCGAGTTCCCTTACACCGGGAGCATCCCTAATAAGAATGTGGGTTGTCTGTATAAATCCTTTATAAATTTCTTAATATGGGAATAAAGGAAATCCGAAAAAGTCACGATAATCACGCGAATAAGAAAAAATTAATTTACTTATTTCTGGTCGAATATGATAAATTCCATAATCCCAGAAGAAAAAAGAAACGCAAAAACAACAAATTCATTTCATGGACATTCAATGACACCGACACACCCCTTTATAAATTTACAAACGCATGAAAAGCACACGATGACAAAATAACACACAGCCAACCACTGAACATGCTGCAATGGAGCGATTAGACAGATCAGGATCAACGGAAATCGAGAGACAACAGAAACAATTTTTAAATTTGCGATTCAAGTGAAGCAGATGAGAAAGCTAAAAATCTATACAATTCTTACTACTTTACTACATTATTATTTTTAAATAGATAACTAATATTATATAGTGTTGCGCATTTTTCGGCGCACTATAGGTAGAACAATGCACCACCTTCTTAAATGGACTGTCAAGTCTGTTCTGTCTAACCATGTCCATAGTTTTATAGTGTAATAAATCATACGTCCTTTGGAGATTCAGAATGACCCATTGACCACTGCTCTAAATAAAGTTCTCCGTTATACCGACATGATATAGCATGTTCGTACAATATCGTACACGTTGAAGATGCTGAAACGCGTCTGCCAGACCAAACCGGCGAAAGTAGGTGGACCAAAATAATCTGTAACGACAAAATTACACCATAATCTTTTAGGTTTCGTGGCCCGATTGACCAAATAAATTCTTTTCAATTAATTACTCTTTAATTAAGGTTTTGGTTGAGATAAAAAAGTCAGTGTCACGTGCGGGATTCGAATCTTCGGCTAAATACGCCGCCGCTCTACCACTTGAGGTATCGTGACTTCGATCCACTCGGACATCAACTTCCGTCTCATCCTCCTATTTGATTCTCGGAGACAAATGAAATGGCCACGGAGAGCATTAGTGAAGGTATACTTCATTTTGCTTATTACATATTTTTGGTTTCGTGGCCCGATTAACCAAATAAATTCTTTTCAATTAATTAATCTTTAATTAAGGGTTTGGTTGAGATAAATGGCAAAAAGAAAAATGGCAAGAAGTTGGTGTCCGAGTCGAATGAAGTCACGATAGCTCAAGTGGTTGAGCAGCCGAAGACGTGGGTTCGAATCCCGCTCATGACACACCATAATATTGAATTGCGTTTCTGGGGCGCCCAGAATTTGGTTGCTCGGATGACTCTCAGCCTACCTGTACCTCTTAACGGTCCTTGAAACCGACGATTGACATCGCCAAGGTGATTAGTAAAGTAGCGCAATGCTTTCGCTTAAACGACCCATTATGACACAAACTAAACCACTAGAGAAAAGAAAATAAGGAGAAATTGCTACAAGCCATCGGAAGAAAAAATCTTCTGAAAGGATCATTGAAATCAACCAAGAACAAATTTGATCGTTCATTTGTTCATAAACAGCTATTACTAACTACATGATTAATCCACAATGTCCCTCATGGAATATACAATATTACTGTAAATATAAACAAAATATAGGTTAAGGTCAAAAAGTAAAAAATATCGAGATTTATAGGTGTTGCGGTATGGTATGGTAATGGATTAAGGGTATGGTTGTAAATGGGGGTTGTAAAAGGGTATGTCCCAACAAATTACAAGCTTTGTAATAAAATTATCGATTTGAATAATAATTTTGAAAAAGGTTATTGATATATCGAAAGATATGTGCTTTTGGTAGGTCCGCATTGGTATTGGTCGCCTAAATATTGGATGATTTGTCCGGTTCGTTATTATCAAAGTAGTTTCTATTATTTTTTATTATTTCCGTATTCTTTGCAATGTTTGGATTCCTTCTTTCGTTGTAATTATTAGCTTTTCTATGATTTTCTTTCCATTTTTTTTAGATTTATACAGTACTTTATAAATTTATGATTTACAGATAAATACTATGAATCGTTCCTTTAATGTGAATCATGTAGATGTAATTCAAATAACTGTTCATTGTTCGATAAACAGTAATCGATAAATCAGGTGCTAAAGTACATTACTCACCTCCACATTTAATCATGGGTTGTTCTCCCACTCATTTGATCTGAAAGCAAAACAAAATTTATTAATATACATTATTTTCTTTTAAATTATTTACTAAGGATTTAACAAACAAAAATTGGTGAATTGGTATATTTTAATATGTTGTATAAACTTACACCAATCTTGCAACATTTTAATTGGTATGGAAATTTTTAATTGCGTTTTTCGGCTCTATTCTAATTTAATTAAGACAGACTACTCTTATTTTTTGCAAGATAAGGCAAGACAATCAAGACGATTTATGCGTTCATGATAAAAAAAAGCTTCTGAAGTATTCATTAAGTATGTATAAAAAAAATTATAAAAACATCTTTGCTGAACAAAGAATTCTGCTATTCACAAAGGATATGTTTTAAGAGTTAGAGGAATGTCTGGAATTTGTCCTAATAGTAGGGTTTATTTGACAGATTTTTATTTTTAACAAAAATGTTCTTCAAAGGAAGTCTTATTATTTAATTTGGTCTTAAATTTCACGTTCAACACGCAAGCCCCACAAGGAAATCAAATAAACCTTTTCATTAATAAGAAAACAAATGGATCGGGAAAAATCGCCCACATCTGTCTTTGATCTCGTGCACCAATGCTGCTGATAACCATTTTTCATCGAAAGCGATTGCAAGAAATTGGACGGGAGTCGAAAATATCTCCGGACGAATTATTGTCCATTAACCTTTCATTCACGCCAGTTTGCCCACAGGGGGAATCGTACACGCTCCCCCTTCACGGCTGTTGCTTCCACGTTTGCGACAGCACAACTGAAACGTGGCCCATTATTTCTTGAAAATTGTTTCATTCTGGACCGGTTCAATAGAAAATTATGTAACCCCAATTATAGAGGGATATCTGAAATTCTTGATTTTCACAGGATAGTTTTTTTAAAACGATAAAGCCTTTTTGTTGGATTGCTCACTTGTCAGTGCAATCTATTGGGTTGTCCGGAAAATAATGCAGGATTTTGGTATTAAACAAAAAAAAAGAAACTATTTACTTTAAAGCAATGTTCTTTAATCAAAATAATTTCCCATACTCTCAATACATTTCTCCCAACGTGTTGGTAACTTATTAATTCCGTCTGAGTAGAATTCAGAATTTTTAGAATTGATAAAGTCAATAAATGCATTTTCCAGTTCCGTTTGATTTTTGAATATTATGTGTTGTAAGTAGTGGTCCAGGTGTCTAAAAAAATGGTAGTCAGTAGGCGAGAGGTCCGGAGAGTAGGGTGGGTGAGGCAAAGTTTCATAGCCAAGCTCCAATAATTTTTGTGACGTTACACGTGACACATGTGGTCGAGCGTTGTCATGCAACAAAATGGGCCCTTTCCGATTGACCAAAGAGGGCTTCATTACTGCCAATTTCTGATGCATGGTATTAATTTGGTTACAGTATGATTCAGCATTGATGGTTTCGCCAGGATTTAAGAAGCTGTAGTGTATTAAACCAAATGAAGCCCACCATACCGTAACCATTACCTTTTTTTGATGAGTTGGGGGCTTTGGAGCTTCTCCTTTGTCGAGCCACTGTCCAGAACGTCTAGTGTTATCGTAGAGAATCCACTTTTCGTCACATGTAACAATTCTGGCCAGAAATGGGTCATTTTTGTTTCGACAAAGAAGTGATGCACAAACATCAAAGCGCTGATTTTTTGGCGATCGTTTAATGAGTGTGGAACCCAATTTTCGAGTTTTTTCACTTTTCCAATCGCCTTGAGGTGGTCAGCGACGGTCGTTTTACTGACTTTGAGTTGCTCTGCAAGTTCTCGAACAGTTGTTTTGGGGTTTTCTTCCACCACTGATCGCAGAACATCATCATTAAGAGAGGAAGGCCTTCCACGACCTTCTTCATCTTCAAGGCTGAAATCTCCCTCCCGAAATTTTTTAAACCACCTTTGCACAGTGCACTCATTAACACAACCCTCGCCCCAGACTTGGTTAATGTTTCTAGCCGTTTGGGCTCCGCTTCGGCCGAGTTTAAACTCGTAAAAGAAAATCGTACGAAATTCTCGCTTTGACATTATAAGGATGACTGAATTATTTCCAAGTAGCGGAATGCTACAGAGGTAAACAAACAATATCATTTGGAAGAGGATTAATAAGTGTTGACATTCATACAAATGAGTAATCCTGTAGACGTAAACAGAATATTTTATATAGATTTTTTTTAATGAAAACTTAAAATCCTGCATTATTTTCCGGACAACCCAATAACTGAGAGTTTAGTTAGATATTCAGATATCGTGAGAGTTTAGTTAGAGTTAGTGAACGTAGTCTCTCTCTCTCTCTCTCTCACACACACACACTCTCTCTCTCTCTCTCTCTCTCTCTCTCTCTCTCTCTCACACACACACACACACACACACACACACACACACACACTCACTCAATCACTCACTCACTCTCTCTCTCTCTCTCTCTCTCTCTCTCTATCTATCTGTATTTATTTATATATCTATTTAATCTATCTTACTCTCTTACATATCAATTCTCTATATTTTCTTCTTTATCTGCCTATTTAATCTATTTATTTATCTATATCTATTTCTCTCTGTCTTTAAATTTATATCTATCTCCCTCTTTCTCTCTCTCTCTCTATTTACTTATTTATTAACTTATCTACCTATCTATTTAATCTATATCTTACTCTCTTACATATCAATTCTCTATATTTTCTTCTTTATCTACGTATTTAATTTATTTATTTATCTATCTCTATTTCTCTCTGTCTATAAATTTATATATATCTCCCTCTTTCTCTCTCTCACTCTTTATCTATCTATCTTTATCTCTATGTATCTGTCTATTTATCTATCTATCTCTTTCTATCTGTCTATTTATCCCTCACTATATCAATTCTCCATATTTATCTATTTATATTTATTTTCTATATCTATCTGTTTATATGTTTTTTATCTCTGATTATATTTATTTTTTAATATTTCCTTTTTTTCTGCTCTTTCACTTTAACTTTGAGTCTTTCTTTATCTAACCGTCTGTTAAACCTTTTTCAATATTTGTACTTCTCACTCGCACTATCTCTCTCAATTTTTTTAATTCTGCCACTAACTAAAACCGCATTCTCTCTCTCTCTCTCTTTCTCTCTATTTCTCTCTCTCTCTCTCTCACTATCTCTCTCTCTTTCTCTTTCTTTCTTTCTCCTTCCTATATATTCAGTGGGTCAGCAAGTACAATATGTGTATGTGTATATGTTTATTTATATCCGTTTCCTTTAAACATACTTCAAATTCGAAGTTGGCGACAATTTTCGTAATAATATATTTGTTAACCTTTTAAATCAGTAATCGCAGTTTCATGTCTTGATGAAGGGTTTGAATGCTTCAAATGCCTGATGGAAGGAACTCAGTGGTTTCTTTTCAATTGGGTACACCAGTTAAACTTTTAAGACATGAGTCGAGTTTATTTCTTGGCTTGAGGTTACCTGATCTTCAACAACAAGAACAACAACACACACATGAAGAGGAAAAATCCCATGATATCCGAGATAACTGTGAATTTGGAATTACCTGCAACCCAAGCAGTAATAATGTATAGATCCTATCAATGTATGGATCGTAGAAATCCTCCAAGAATGACAAATTGGCAAGAACAGAAAGTAAAAGATTAAAAGCATGTTTAGACCATATTATTTTTTACGCTAAACTAACGATACATCATAAAAACTCATCAAATAAAGGCAATGGAAACCAATGAGCAAAGATCCTAGACGAAACTTAGTAAACATAAATGAAAGATTCAAGGAAAATTCGCGTTGACAGGGCACCGCCAGCTACCAAAACAGAAGAAATGACGTGCTTAATTTGTAAACAAGCATAATCTGCCCCTAATTATCTTCAATTAAAAAGCCAGAAATATATGGACGTCAAACAATACACAAATCACGACTCGCAGTGCCCATTCATGACCTAATCGAAAGGTATGATTTAGTGAAGCTCTTTGAAGGGAATCTAAGACGATAAGCCTAAATCCGTCCCAAGGCTTCGACCAGCCCACACTAGGAAGTCAAATAAATAAACACAATTTGTCACTTTAAAGGATTTGGTTAAAAATCTAATCGAATAAATTAAAAATTAATAAAAATCAAAACAGGATTAATATTTCTCTAAGTGTTTAATTATGTGTTCAAATACAAGGACTTCTTTTAAAGCCATTAATCAACTATTGGTCCGTGCTTATCAAATATTTAAAGTCTAATAACATTTAATTTCCTCGCTTTGGACATGTAAAGCCAGATTGACAGAATGATCCAATTTTTTTCTATGCCAATTATGCACTTCCTGATTAACCTGCTAGTCCTATAGCCAGACATTTCAGAAGCTTTTCATGACAGTTAAAATCAAAACCCTTTTACTTTTTAAGGGGTCAAATTTCAACATTATAAACATTGTTAAACTTTATAAAATATTATATAATTTAACTTAAAATCTTTAATTATTTCTGGGAAAATAAAATAAAATCCTTCTAGGCAGGGGTATTGTCTTTGGGGAAAAAAAGGGTCAAATTATTTCCTGTAAATAATCGGATTGGAATTTTTGAGACCTGCGGCCAAATTTACCGCCATTCCGTCTCACTGGAATTGGCGGAATTCTCCTGGAGAATCTTTCAGACCACCGGGTAATTGGTCGCTGCGAGTTAGTCATTTCCGGCATTCAACGACGGACGCCATGTGAACCTTGACACAGGCGATGGGAAACATCCTGGGAATAGCTCCATAGAGGCATTAGTTTCACACAATAAAAAAAAATCGTTGTGAAGTATCGTCTAAGAAAAACCATCTAGAAACCAAACGAAAACACGCTTCTTTCGAGAACAGTCGACATCTCACCAATATCATAATTTTTATTACTGAAGACTTGCCCAAGACCGAAATATTCGGCGGAATAGGGGGAAGTAGTTTTAATCAGAAAATATATCCTACTCCCAATGAGTTAATCTAGTAATTAACTGATGAATCAATTTCCCAAGGCTTTTTTCTCAGATAGAACCCAGACGGCGCAGTTTTATCAGACAGTAATAAGTTAAATATAAGTTTTAAGTAAAGTTTGAATGAAATGTCTCTGAAATTTCACAGCAAAAAAGCAGTATGACATTTACTAAATTGCTGTCGGTAAATCCATGGAAAAATAGAAATTATATTGCTTGAAACTTATAATCCACGCATACCCAGGTCTCTTAGAGTCTCTCTTACATATTTATCTATCTATGTATCTATTAATTTATCTATCATCTCTAACCATCTCCATCTCTCCCATTCACTCGCTTTCCCCCCTCTCTCTCTCTCTCTCTCTCTCTCTCTCTCTCTCTCTCTCTCTCTCTCTCTCTTCTTTTCATATAATCTTTCCTTCCCTCTCATTATCATCTTTTCTCTCTTTTCTTTTCAACATTTATTTGTTTACCTTTCCTCATTTTAACTCTTATTCTTTCCTTAGCTACATATATTTCTTTGTTTAACGGTTTAACGTTCCTTTTTTCTACTCTTTTCGTATAACATTACTGTTTCGTTATATACCTGTCTAACTCTCTATCTATCTCTCCACCTATCTATCAATCTATCTATCAATCTATCTATCAGTCTATCTCCATTTCCCTGTCTATCTATCTATTTAACTATTTATCTCTCTAATCTACCATTAAATCTTTTATTATTCTCATCACGTATTTTGTTTTACCTTTCCTCTTTTTCTGCTCTCTCATTTTAACTCAGATACTTTTCTTATCTACATGTCGATCTAACTATACTTCTTTGTTTATCGTTGTTTCTACTCTTTTACTCAAACACTTACTCTTTCATTATCTACCTGTCTATCTCTCTATCTATCTCTCCACCTATCTATCAATCTATCTATACGTCTATCTCTATTTCTCTGTTTATCTATCTATTTAACTATTTAATTCTATACGTATCTCTCTAATCTACCATTAAATCTTTTTTTCTTCTCATCATTTTTTTTACCTTTCTTCTTTTTCCGCTCTCTCATTTTAACTCAGACTCTTTTCTTATCTACATGTCGATCTAACTATATTTCTTTGTTTATCGTTGTTTCTACTCTTTTACTACAACACTTACTCTTTCGTTATCTACCTGTCTATCTCTCTATATATCTCTCTAATCTACCGAGCCACCTATAGCTGGCTTCAACGCTTTATTTATCTTTCCATTTTTCTGTCTCTCACTCTTTCATTATATTCCTGTCCTAAGCTAATTTTATTTCCCTCCCTCTCGGTCTCTCATACTCTTTCCCACTTACAACACTCTCTCTCCCTTCTTCCTCTTGCTCTCGCACCCTTTCGTTTCCCTCACCCTGGCCAGCCTGCTTTTTCGCGTTCTATCAAGTATAGTTTGTACGTTTTAGTTGTGATGCGTCCTTCAAAATATTCATACAAAAAATAAATAAATTGGGGTTATTTACATAGGCGGTCGTATTTGTTACGGTTTGTCTGTCCCGTTCAAGAGCCGGAGTGGATGAGCAAAAAACGTCTGCCAAGTGGGTGGGTAATATAGCTTCCTTCTGTTTTATACATTAGTATGCGCATATTTTAATCCGTTTGTTATAAAATTCATAGGGGATCATCGAGAATGGAACCCGCATCCCTGAAAATTGCATCCGACAAATGATTTCAGAGATATAGCTGTGTACGCGATTGTACGTTTGCGCATGCGATTAAATTGATAAAGGATCTGGACACAAACCCGCACATTCATAAAAATTGGTCTTATGGTTTCCGAGTTTTGCCGGTTACAAGGAATTGACCACAGGCAAACTGACGTAAAAAATCTGTTCAAGGTCTAAAATACAATATACGAGTGTAAATTTCGATTTTGGAGTATACATTAAAGAAGGTCAATGGAGCAATATAAATATTTGTTAAATAAACGCAGCCTATTACTCATAAATAGCTATCTAAACGTTAATAGTGAATATATACGTACAAATCGTTCTGATATATTGACCATGACGCTATGATACCCTCATTTTACATGTAGATAATAACCGTTTTACTAACCTCAAAAGCTTGGATCCTAATACAGTGAACAGCATGATAAGAAGTGATATTACTGAAAAATGGCCGAATTACCACTGTGTTTACACGGATGGTTCAAAAATGGAATCGGGGGCTGGCTGCGCATTCTATGACCCGACCAATAAATATGAATATTTAATTGCCCAATGATATTAGTATTTATTCAGCCGATCTGTACGCCATAAATGCCCTTATTTATGTAAGTTCTTTTACGGACAAGAAATTCCTTATAATTAATTACAAATAAGTTCACTGCTAAAACTCAAAAATGGAAACATAAACGCATCGGATAACCTTCTGATAAATGAAATAATAGAAAAAAAATTGACTATAGTAAAAGAAAAGATTAAAAAATTAGTTGTAACTTGGGTAAATGCTCATACAGGTCACCAAATTGAAAAAGTAGATAAGTTAGCTAAAGATGCTACAATAAACGGCAAAGGATCGAAATTCAAACTCCATTTCACAGAATTATATGGCTTGCGAAAAGAGAAATACTGTGAAAATTGGCAAAACCAATATGAATGCAATGACAAAGTTAGATTTTATAAAAGAATACAACCTAGTTTTGGGACATGTTCAAGGCGGAAGAAGTGACAAAACATACGGTTAGAGTTATATGTGGATTATGAGCAAACTATGTAATACATAAAATTAATAGAGGGAGGACAGACCTATGTGACTAATGTGCGATGATGGAATCGTGCGAATACCTAATAATGGAGTACGTCAAATATGCTGGAGAAAGGAAAACGATGATTGAATCTATAATGAAATTTTGGAAGCTTCCACTCAGTATAAGTCAATTTTGGAATCAGGTAAGTTGAGCGTATACTGTCATGTAGTACAATTCTTTAAAAAGATTGGTCACAATGTATGAGAATTAATTTAGTTAAACTAGTTAAGGAGTGGAATAAATAAATTGATACATGGCGATGGCTTCTCCGGCTAAAGCCACCAAAAACAGAAAAATGAAGCAATATACTAAAATTGTTCAGAAAGTCTTGAAAAGCAAAATGGGAGTAGAAATTTCATTTTGTAGGCAAAAAATTGTTCCGACCTCCTGTATGAAAACAAAGCTACCCTACCTCCGGTAGTTCGGAAGCAAAAATTGTCAAATTTCATACATATCCGTAGGAGTCGGGTCAGAGACATCACCGCCGTCCCGGTTGCCAAACAGGAATCCGTCCCATCCGTTCACGGATACCGTCGCGGCCTCCCGCATCCGGGATATCGCGAGTCCCAGTTCCGCCGTCCCATTTCGGACCGGTCCCGCAGGAACGCGTAAAAATTTTCGGCATAGATTTAATACCCCGGCCCGTATCCAGGTTGATGTACGGCCAATTAAAGGCGGGACGAAGGCTATTTATCCGGGGAGCCTGTAATTTTACCAAGGGCATTAATCTTATTGACCGCTGAAACATTGTTATTACACGACTATTCAGAGTATTGAAAATTAAATTGTTATCAATAAAGAACTGAATAAAGAATGGAGCCTGTTTTTTAATTTTTTGGCATGTCAAATCATAGACGGTCTTCATTTTGAATATTTTGAAAAATTGCTCACGAGGATTTTTTTTTAAATTATCGCCCGTTGCATACAGAATTAAGCCCTAGCATCTATTGTTTATTTCTCGCAATTTTTTGTTACTTTAATTTTCTTCGATAGGTAAAATTTCGTTGATAAATAAAAGTACAATGACAACAAAAACCTACAAGATTTTCCAATTGCATTCTCATTTTTTATAGTTGGTTATCCTAATCCCACCTTCTTCCTCATAAAAATTTCTAAAATAGGGCCGTCGGCCTAGATTTTGTCTACAACCACACGGGAACGTGAGAAATGCCTCGCGTCCGGCTCGACTTCATCTGAGATAAGGAGGAAGCTCTGTGGGAGTGGCTCACCCCGAAGCGGATGGATATGAAATAAAGACCGGAAAAGGGGTTGAAATAGAACAGGAAACGACTTCATGGTCCGAGGGGCCGACAGGTGGGTTCGGGATAACGGCGACAATGGGGATATAGAAAACGAAAACGGTAAAATTAGCTCGTCTAATATTTCACAAATGAGGGACTTAAGCAAATAGTTTTTATATGCATATGTCTAGGGCTGTTGACCTCTCTTTATTACCTATCGTACGTAGTATAACTCTGGATTGCAGCACTCAGTTCTTAGAACTATGTTCGATTTAAATACCTCATCTGAAGAATTCTTCCAGTCGGAAGCACTATACAATGTTTTCCTTTAAAAAAATCTTCACTTCTTATTCATTGAAGAACTCATCCCTTTAAAGATATTTTCTAAATAATTCTTCAAATTACCTTTTCTCCCTTAATAATTAAAATATATAGGGATCGAAGTTTACATATTTGGTTGAAGAATTCTCCGCTTTACAGTTCATTTTCCTTTTTCATAGATCTCACTATTAGAGTTTATCGACAGTGTATGCTATACTTTTCAATACGTCTGCCAAAACATTCTTCAGACAAATCTTGTAAGCATTATTTTGTTTCATTGTTCAGCTGAAGCTCTACGTTTTACCTTGACCCTGCTAACAACTCATTTGTTGTATATTGTACTTTGAATGTCTCCGAAAAATCTTAGTCCGCCCGGACTCCCTGGTCAATAAAGATGGCACAATGGCCTAAACGCGTTTGGCAGCAGACTAGGAGAAGCTGCACTCATTATAACACCGTAATGATGTTTTCGATGGAATATTTTTTAATTTTGGCCAAAACTGTATTTACTATGACTGAAGCATTACTTACTTTGAACCGCCACATATGAAGCACTCTCAATTTGCGAGTGTTTGTAGTGCATAAGAAAAGATTAGGTTTAAGGGTGGTTTTAAAAAAATCCATAAGAACTCAGGTTTGCAATCGATATTTTCCTTGCTTCAAGGAAAAACATTGAATCATAGATACCAGCATGGTATCCAGCCCTAACTTTACGTAACAGTAACCTTAATTCTACCTAACATAGCCCTACTTTAATATAGCACTAACTTCTACCCTAGCCCATCCCTAAACTAACACGTCCGTAACTGTAACGCTAACCCTACTTGACTCTAACACTTCCAAGCATGACCTGATCTGACTCGTCCCTAATCTAATCCTAAATCTACCTAACCTGATCCTATCGGTTCCTAACCCTAATTTTAACTAAAACTGATACTAATACAAATTCTACGTAACCTAGCCCGTTCCTAACAATAATTCCATCTAACCTAACTCGTCCTAAGAGTTAATCCGTTCCTTCTCCTAGCTCTAACTTAGCCTAACCCTCCCAACCCAAATCTAACCCTACCTGACCAATGTTACAATTCAAGCATTCTTCAGAGCAGTTTGTTTTACTGAATCCCGCTTACATAAAATCTTCACATCTGAAGAACTTATCATTTTACAGTGCGTTGAAGGATTCTTCGCTTTTCTCCCACTGTCAGCTTTATTATTGAAGATTCTTCGCTAAACAAAGCTATCTGAGGTGTAGTGATTACTTTCGGTTGAAGCTTTCTTAATGGTTTAGTGTATATGCTTTAACTTTCTTCACTCTCTTTCTCTCATGTCTGCTCAGAAACATTTAACCTTGTTTGGTCTCGTCAGAATATCTAAAATGAAGATTGTTTTCTTTACTGAAGCAATATTCTTGGAAACAATTTTTGTTTCTGTTGTTTTTGTCGGCCGTGTTGTTTTCATTTTTGACATTTTTTCATTTCGGAGGCATCCAAGTAGACCGCTTGTAAAAGATTATGTTTGCAAATATTTCGGCTCTCTCAGATGTATCTTCAGGATTCTTTTATAATAGTGAATGTCAAAAAAAAAATAATAATAATAAAGGCTTAACTTCAATTTACCACTCTCGCTATGAATACGTTTTTACCACCACTCACCATCCCTGGCCGACTACTTAATGAAAAAGCAACGTTGATAATCGATAAGGATATAGTGACCGACCAACAGTTGTTAATTATTGAAGTGGATGTGATCCAATGAACAAAACTTTTATAAATTTGCCAAGCTTTCGGTGTATATAATATTTCGCTTTCCTCAGGGCAAATTTATGCTTAGATTCTGTAACTCACTATTGTTTTCGAATGATAAAGATGTATTTAAAAAATGTTAAAGTCCTAAAAGTTTTTTTGTTCTGTAAATATTTCTTATGTTATAGTTTTATAACTGAGGACTTTTAACTGAGAGAACATGTGGACGGATTTAAAGGTTTTGGTCATTGGATCACTGCTACAACTGATAAGTTAAACAATTAACCTCAACTGAAGCATTCCTATATTCATAGGAGCATTCTTCGCTTTTATGAAGTTTCTTCGTAGAAACCTTGCATTACCCTTGCCACAGAAGCACTTTAATTTGTTAGTTATCATCTCCCACCTTTGCACAAGTATCAGTATATGTGCTTATCATGGTTTTCTTAATTTTTAAGTCAACAGAAACCTAACCTTAAAATAAGTGCTTCCATCGAGGGCTAATAGTTCCGAAAATCTCCCGACAACTAGCATATTTAACTGATGACTATCTTTCTCTCAATGATCAATGATTCTTTTCAGTGTTTCGTGTAAATCAAAAGTTCAAAAACAAATCCTGAATCCGTTTTACACGTTTTACGTAAACAATAGAATGTATTTACGTTTTCAATCAAGTTTATGTATGTTTATCATTGTTTCGAATTAAGAAAACTACGAGACAAGGTTTTCCGCAGTTCCCACGGCGCAATTGCGTACAATCATCACGATCTTTATCCCGTTTCTTGAATTTTCTGATCCTTTTTAAAAGCACGCTTATAACCATCGGGAAGAGGAAAGAACAAACAAAAAGAAAAACCCAACCGTCTGAATACCCACGTGCTATTTACGAAGGAAATTCGGTCTTGCAGAGGAGGACGTCTTTTTTTTCACAGGATTGCAGATCTTAAGACCATACAGGCTTTTAATGAGAATTAAAAAAAAGTCCGCTTAATCCTCGTTCATCCATTCCCATTTAAAATTATAAAATTCCGACCTCGCCCCCTAAGAAAATGTAGGCGGACAATCTGCCCATCCGAATTAGGCGGAGGGAATTTCGACAGAATATTTGAACTCCTTTTGAAACTGGATAATTTAAAAATTGAAAGTCAGGAACACAAACCGTCAAACACAGATTAGAAAGATTGCAAAAGGGATTCAAATAGGACAAATTAGGCAAATTTAAATTTAGCTCACAGCACTTTTAAACTTTATGCGCTTGCTACTGTAGGAAACAGGAAAAAATGCTTTTAACAACTTTATCCGACTTAAAATTAAGATATATACGCCAGAAAAAGAATGAATAAATCAAAAAGGGTTCTTTTTTTAAAGTCTATCGAGGAATCTCACGTTTCTGCTTATTTTTTCGTCTGGTTTTGTGGACGGGAATCGTTAGCGGAACGTTTTATGCCAAGCTTGCATCTGCTTATGATGAGGTCGACGGACCTTTTATTCGCATAATCCTGTTCGTAGCATACGGCTGATATTGGTCCTGGAGAATTCGACTGTTTCGCTTGATTTTCACCAAAACTTTAACAGTAGATTGTTGTCCTTTTGGATAATTTGAATTTTTTTAAATTAATAACATACTAGCCAGTAGACAGGGATTATAAGATAGAATTGTAAATGCAAAGATTATCAGTCTTTATACCAAATTGTATGTTACTCAATAAAGGCTGAAGTTTTTGAAGGTCTTTCTAATTGCCCTCTGATGAAAGACCCTAGGGAAGAAGGAAACGCGGCAACTTTCTTTATGAGACATTATTTTGAAACGCTTATTTTCTACAGGCGGTGATGAAATTCTCCTGCCGTGGGTGGATCCTGGGCGCCCATTGTAAATGCCACGGCTGACAAATCGGACGTTGATTTATCAGAGAAAAGCGTCAACTTGTTTCCATCGGCCTTTTGCCCCCTTGGGTCAGACCAAGACGTGAAGAAGATAATTGAAAATTTTCTAATATGTTAATTCGAACTGAAGTCAATTTGGCTGAGGTGATTTTGTTTCACGTTGTGCATCGAAGTAATTGAGAAATTTTATGAAGTTCCTCTTGAAAGACATCATCTAACACAGACAATAGGGAGGATATAAATGGGTATTTTTTACGTCTCTCCCGACGAATAATTATTATATAACCCTCCGGGATGGTAGGGTGGAAGTTTAACGGATCACCCCCTCCTTCTGTTACAGTTTAATAAAGTCCTTAACGTTATGTCACGCTTGTCCGGCAATCACAAAACGGACGGTGCGCGGTGACGGCACGGAACCGGTTTCGTCCCGCACCACGCCCTGAGTCGTCTGCATGATGCACGGGCCAGTAGAAATTTTACGGAACGGGTCAAAATCCCGACCATGAAGAAAGGGGACGGCAAAGTACCAAAGGACAATGCGGAAAGAGAAGTGTTTGAAGATTAATTACCGGTCCGACCTTGCTGGCGAAACGATAGTGACAGTCAACATCTGCAAGATTGATGAGGGATTGATCGATTAAACCCTGCTGGAATTCCGTGGACGGCTGTTCATTGACGAAAAAAAATGTTCCAACTATCGTGTCTTCTTACTTTAACAGGGCACGAATGGTCCATCTGTAAAAGGACCGGGAGATTTACGGTTACAAAATACTTCCAGACGTAAACAGCTGTACAGATTACTTTCGACGTTAAGTACCTGTTGAATGAAAATTTCCGGCTTTGTTTCGACTCGGACTTTCACCCGGGGTCAAGCCGCCGGCGGAGGCGGAACGGAACTCCTCGAACGGAGATACTTTCCGTCACGTAGAATCGCCGTTTGCAAGAATTCCGCCGTGAAATGCGAGTTCTCCTTGACCCACCTCTCCATTGTTTTCACGAATCCCCGAATCGGGAGCTGGACCGGCTAATTGGCCGGGCGTGGGTGCAGCAAGAGCATTTATCATATGAGACGACCGAATTTTTAGCAAATACAAGCCTTTCGACCTTTCTTTAACGGGCGACAAGACTTGAAAGTTCTGCTGTTATTTATCCGGTGAGGAGTGAGAACATGGAAAGACGTTTCTCCCCAAGTATGGAGAATCCTTTATTCCTCGAAATGTACGGTATTTGAAAAGCAAGTAAATATTATTGATGGAAATTATCGATGATCAGGACAATCGTTATTAAGTTCAAACATCTGACACCAAGTGTGTCTTTATATCTTCAATTTGCGCAATGAAGTTTACTGTCTGATAAGTCTCTTAGTGGATACCCTTTAATATAATAAAGGTTGTACAGTACCCCATATGCTATCAAATTAGCGGTGAGACTAGATGGACCAGAAAGAACCACACCAGTCTAACTACTTATCCCAACTTCCCTTTAATTTGCTCAATGAAGATGAATACAAATAAATATTTTTCTGCATTGTTCATCAAGCCTGATTACCATTTTCACTATTTTCGAGCATACCCTAGAATAGACGACAGGTTCAAAAGGAAACCATCAACTACCAATGGAGCAGCGAGAATATATGGACCGGAACACTTACACTTTCCAAAATATTTCGTCATGGCTTCAGTTAAGAAGACTATGATGGTTAATTCTCATGACATCTTCTTCATATTTACTCAGTCTGAGGAGACCATTATTGAAATACACTGGAGCAGAAGTTATTGACGAAACTATTTGCCACCAAATTATAGGTGGACCAAAAAGTACCAGTCTAACTAAAATTATCATATATCATTTTCTCAATGAAGTTGAATAATTATGCTTTTTTTGCACAAAGCAGAAATTCATCATCTCTGATCAGTTTGCATATTCAGTCTTTTAGTATGTACCCTTGAATAGAACGAAGGTTCGTTCATCTAATCAGATAGCTTCAACCTTGCTCTTGCAGAGTTCAGCCTTCAAAATTTTGAATTGGAAACTGTCTGTCACTATTCCCTTTTAATGGTTACCTTGTAATAGACGACTGGTTTCAATAGGAAACCATCTGCTACCAAGTGAACAGCGAAAATAGACGGACAAAATACTTTACATTTTCAAATATGTACTTCATTCCTTCAATAAATGAAAAGCTATGTACGTTCATTTTGAAGGCACCGAGCAGTGATATACTCCTCTCCATCTTTACTCAATCCGAGGAGATCCAATATCGTTTTTGCCCAGAAGAGAGATCGCTGAAAAACTATTTTGCTATCAAATTTATAGTGACACGGTAACCCAGAAGTATCACACTAACCTAACTAATTATCTCGCCTTCCCTTCAATTCATTAAATTTATAAATCATATGTTTTTGTGCTTAGTATATCAAATCTGATCACCATTTTTATTCTTTCGAGGGCACCAAGTGGACAGTGAAAATAGAGTGACAAGAACACTTTACATTTTTAAATATTTCATTACTTCAATAAATAAAAAGCTATGATGGTATGTTCATTTTGAAGCCACCGAGCAGTACTCCATAGACTCTCTTCCATCTTTACTCAGTCCGAGGACATCCAAAATTGGTTTTGCCCAGAAGACAGGCCGCTGAAAAACTATTTTGCTACCAAATTAATAGTGACGCTAGGTTACACAGAAAGACCACAGTAGCCTAACAAAATATCTAACCATCCCTTCAATTGATTACATTTATAAATTATACGTTTTTGTGCTTAGAAAATTAAATCTGATCACCATTTTCACTCTTTCCAGGATACCAAGAGAACGGTGAAAATGACGAGAAAACTTTACATTCTCAAATACTTGCTGAACCATTTTTCATCTTTACTTAGTCCGAGGACATCCATTATTCACCGTGAGATTAGGTGGACCGGAAAGTACCATACCAACCTAACTGTCATCATCCCTTCGATTTGCCCAATAATCAACCTCACTTATTTCATTAGACACTCTTGTATACATCAAACTTTCAATTGGAAAAATATGTCACCAAATTAACTGCGGATATATCTATCCCAAGAATTCTTTTGCTATGCCTTTTCTTTACCATAAGTCATCTGGTCATTCCTCGTATTCCTTCACTCGGTAGATACCATTGTAGGGTTTTTCATTGCACAAATGGTACAATGAAAAATGCCTCTAAATACATCGAAAAAAGGCGGACCTAGTCCATTTAATTAGACCACAGGCTAACTAATTCAATTACGTGCACTAAAAATACGGTTTTGCCAGTTCCTTCAGCTGAAGAAAGCAGTAGGTCAAGTTGAATCAGTCGCCACCTTCACAGAGCCGGTATCTCTCAACCTAATTAATAGGTAACTCACTAGCCCGGATATATTTTTAATCCCTGCCATTATCTCATTAATTGAATCATAATTAAACATCTTACACAATCTTTCATGCACTATGCAGGTAATTTCATTTTTATGAATTTATTAAAGCATTCAAAAATGATCATTCCATATTTTCTCTGTAGGTTAACAAAGCATTAAATGGAATCGAGTTCGACAAAGGAACGTCAATTGATTATTGGTTGTTCTTCGGGGTCGGCAAAGATATCACCAACGATAACATCGCCAGCCCAACCGGCTTCGAGGTAAAGAACGCCTACTTTTAAAATTAATCCCAACGACTCCTTGAACTTTTATCACCTTGGCGAACTGTCAGCAATAAAAATCCAACTCTGCTCTGCAAGTTTCCGCCCCATTTGGAAAGCTAGAAACTTCGCGGGTGACCCGCAACGACAATTTCTGCACGATCAGCGTGTCGCTTAATGATCTATCGTCGTACAATTTCAAACGAAAATGTCCGAGTGTTTTTGAAATAGCTTTACATAAATTAAGTTTCTAACTATTAAACACATTTGAAGTTGTTAAATATAAGAACCAGCTCTATAGATTCTATCTAAAAGTACCAACGAATTCCAAAAATTTAACTTTATTGGACTAATATGGTCTATATATGTGTTTTTTTTAGTAACCGGTTATTTAATAATATATCGGATTCGTGAGAAACGGTCAAGAATGAAGTAGTTTAGAAGAACATCTTTTTCTTTTTTTGCCGACGTTTCGACCTTTATTCGGGACCTCTTCAAGGCATAAAGTGTGGTGTTATTCTTGTGGTGTCATATTGGTGTTAATTCAAATCTTATGGTTTTCTAATTCTTAACCGCTCGTCGCGAATCCAACAAATTATTGTCTATATAATTAAAATAATGGTAGCTACTATGAATTAAAACAACCACAATTTCGAAGGTATAAAAAATCAACTGTTGGTATGGTGGTTATATTCTTTCTAGTCTACTTTATCAAGTCAGTGATCGCCCTGGCCAACCTATTCTTACTTTGTGAATTGATCAAACTTCTCACAACTATTCAACGACTCTTAGACCAATCAGGACAGCTTCGAAATTATATCACCGCGTAAAATAATTGGTAAGAGAATTGGCATAACAGAACATTTTAGAGAAAATCACAATACTAATTATATAATAAATGAATGTAGACGATAAAACCATCTCAACTTAAAATTAAACAACAATTACAACAGAACGAATTAGGCTACTAGCTGAGTAAGTTAGCTTCAAAAATAGCTAGAGTTTTATACATAAATTACATAATAAATAAAAAAATATATATTTCTATTGTTCTCTCTCTCTCTCTCTCTCTCTCTCTAACTCTCGATCTATTTATCTATCTTTTCCACTCTCTCTTTCTCTGTCTGTCTGTCCATCTCTCTACCTATTTGTCTCGCTTTAAAATAATTAAATGTACTAAACATTAAAGATAGAAAAGTGAAGAAAAATTTCTTTTATGAGTTCTCTCAGTCTCCCACCCTCTTCCATTCACTCTCTCTCTCTCTCTCTCTCTCTCTCTCTCTAACTCTCGATCTATCTATCTATCTATCTATCTCTATCTCTCTCTATCTCTCTCTCTCTCTATCTCTCTCTCTCTATCTCTCTCTCTATCTCTCTCTCTCTCTATCTCTCTCTCTCTCTTTCTCTGTCTGTCTGTCCATCTCTCTATCTATTTGTCTCGCTTTAAAATAATTCAATGTACTAAAGATAGAAAAGTGAAGAAAAATTTCTTTTATGAGTTCTCTCAGTCTCCGACTCTCTTCCATTCTCTCTCTTTTTCTCTCTCTCACACACAAAGTGTAATAGTTTATGTAATAAATTTACAACGCAAAACTAATCTATGTAGCCAGCATTTCTGAAAATCAGTAACCAAACCTTTCTTATCTATCATATTTGATAATACGTAAATAACAGCAGCAATAAAATAATGATAAACAACAACATCCGTTATTTTCTTTTTTGACTAGCTTTTCGAGTAACAAAAAGGACTAGGTTTTGAGCATTGTATGTACTGTAGTTATAAAATAATTTTTGTTTAGTGTCAGTTCCGAAAGCGTTATAAGTACTATTTTATTTGTTAAATTATTTTTATTTTATATTTTGCCACTTCTCACTTTTATATGCTTTATATGACTAACCATAAAATTATAAACAACCGGTAAAACGAGCCAACTCAATATGGGAGTAAATGTTACTTAATTTTTTATATTGACAACTGTTTTTAGTTTATCGTTGTCATATTTTATTGAGATAAAAAAAACAACTTTGCCAATAAAAATGGTATTAAGCTGTTTTATTACGAAAATACATAACGTAATATTTTTTAAATATATTATGGGGGGCGAATTTTCTAAAATCTGAAGTCAATGTTTTGATGGTATATATAAAAGGCATATCTCAATGTAATGCAATTTAGATTTTTTTTTAAACATTACATCTAAAACGGCGAACGAATTTGTCAAAATGTACTAAAACCCAATTAAGAAATAAAAAAACATTGGTCTCCATGTGCCCAATTGTAAACTGACTACATAAATATTCCATTTTGCCAGTAAATAACACTAAATTACCACTGAAGGAATAAATTAAAAGCATTCTAAAATATTTTATTTACACACAAAAACCGTGAAATTGTCCAAGGAACAAATTTCAAATAAACACTTTTGAATAAAAGAATTTGTTTAAAAATTTGACAATATTTGATCAAAAGAGGTATGAAGAAGTCCCAGTCAGTATTGTTAAACGATATAATATTTTTGGATTTATTTATTGAATTTCGTGACATACCCGTAGTTTTATATCCATGTAAACAATTCCGGGATCACAGGACACGAACCACTCTTTTCGAGTTCCTTCAGAGCACTGATGACTGAGTGTTGTTTGGTCCGCTCCGTGGATACCCCTACCACGACAGCAACATCACTGATCCCTTCACGAGAGCTATCTCTAGCTGGCTATGACTAACTACGACTATGCCGATAATAGGAAGATTGTTCTTTGTCGGACGATGTCACCTAATTCTCGGTGAATTTGTTCCATTTCGGCGAAAAACTGATTGGACATGAAATGACTCACATTGCGCGGTCGGATTGCAGGACTTGCAGGGGAGGATCAGGTTGGTGTGCCACGGATTTTGACCACACTTTTTTTTGTGATTCTACATTGTAAAATATCGAACACGTATCCGCCACTTCTTGTGAATATGTCCTGGTTTCACCAAAAAATTTAAAAGTTGAAATTATCCGGGTTTTTTAAATATTTTTATTTCGCAGTTCTACTTGCTCAAATCAACTATGTGACTATATCCAAATATTTTTCATGTAAACTAGGTCATATATTTTTGTAAAACTAATTTGAAATCTGTAGAGGCCCCTAAAAATAAATTATAAAAATCAAAATCGAAATCTTATATATATTTTTGTGGTACATTCGTCATTAAAAAGCTGCTCCTCTTCTGTCAATGATATGTTTGACGTTAAAATCCTTTTAGCTGTTTTTGAATTATAGCCGTTTCTATCAGATGTTCCGATAATTACTACTTTAAAATTTGAAAATTTTTAAAGGCCAAATAATGGGTAATTTTCAATTCAAACAAAAATTTATATTAATGAGTCTCTAGAGGTGCTAAAACGTAATATCGAATTAGTTTCACGGAATAAAAGACCTCGTTTACTTTTAAAAATATTTGGTATTTAGAAATTTTTTGATTTTACATAAACTTTGATAGCTTTTACTATATTTTTATTGTAATATATACACAAAAAATGTTGTAAAATGATATATTTATATTGTTGATTTCAGTAAGTAGAACGGCCAAATTTAAAACAACGTATAATTTCAACTTTTAAATTTTTTGGTGAAACCAGGACGTATTCTCAAGAAGTGGCGGATACGTGTACGATATTTTGGAATGTAGAATTACCACAAAAAGTTTGGTCCAAATCCATGACACACTAACCGGTCGTCCACTTTTTAGACATTGTATTCCGAACATAATTATTATTTTACTCATTCATAGATTTTTTCTCATTCGTTTTACTTATTATAACACTTTAAATACAATTAAAGGGTGTCCTATTGATTCCCAATAATATACTTATTGCAAAGGAATAAAAATCAGGTATTTTGTGTAGTTCTAATGAAAGAACTATTTGTCGTTGGTCCAACCTTCGATGGATGAGGGACTTCTTAAACAAAGTGGAACAAAATCCAGGTCAAAATGTCAAAGAACGTTACTATTAAAGGCAGATTGTAGAAATTAAAATCCGTCGGAAAAGTTATAAAGCTCAAAACGTGGGTGATTTCTGATGAGCATGTAAACGTCAACAGGTGAAACTTGTGAGGTTTCTTCTTGAGGTGAAACCTGTAGCTTGAACGTTTCCTATCACTATGGTCTGTGCAACGTATTTTTAAGTCCATCACCCCATAGACCTCAAGACGAAATCTCATAAACTATCAATTTGTATAAAACGCCATCTTTGATAAAACTATACCCCGTAAGAGGAAATCTCGTATCTTTATGGTCGATTTCGTCCTATTTTTTACCTACCCTTGTTGTTTTGGTATGAAATGCGAAAACTCTTCCGACAGACGATCAAACAACAGCTAGAAATGGGGAAAAAGAGATTTGTATTTCTTCGATTTTTTAATTATTATTTTGCACTTCATAGAGATAGACACATCCATAATGAGAATTTCCTTAATTTTTCCTATGGTTTTATTACCATTTTTAATCAAATGATTAGCTGATTTTTCCATTGAAATTGAAAGGTACTCCTAAGTAAACATAATTTTTCATATATTTACATTTCTCTTGTCCATAATAAACGTTTTATAACTTTTCTGCATTTAGGGGATGGATTCCTGAGGGGATGGATTCCTGAGGGGAATACAATGAAAACCTAGTGGGTGGAGTGTTAACTCGCAGTACTTTCTAAGTCTGCTAGATGCCTCTTGGGACGATTTTTTAAACTCTATTCAATTAAAACTATTTTGAGGTTCATACCATAGTTACATATTTAAGGAAATAAAAAAATATGTAAGTACGATTTTATTATATTTTTGACCTTGATTTTAGTCTATAATACTCAGCAAACATCTTGTTCTTTTACACGGTACTGGCACCGTTGAAGGCAATGTTTTCGAAAAGAAAACTTTAGAAGGTTTTACTTCTTTTATATGATTATTTACTTGCATAATTTATAAAATGGATTTTTTATACTTAGGTACTATTTATTATAAAAGTGTTTTAGGAATGAACATCAACGAGCAGAACGGGACGTACACAATGCTGGGTAACGTGAACTTGTCTTCTAAATCAATTAGACCTTTGATAAGAAGGTAAATACTAACAAGAGTATAGATGCGATGGGTAATGAAGCGAAGAAAAGCAGACCGCAAGGATTTCTGCGGGGTGACTCTTGTAACGTTGAAGCACGGGGTCACTGCTTGCAGTTGCGTTATCTTTGGCTTGCCGAACGATGCGGATTTACAACAAGGCAGTGACAACGTTGTCATGGCCGGTGACAAAAATGGGAATCGCAAGGCAAAAAAAGTCTTAGAGATGTGCAGTCTTTCTGGAAGGATAGTAGGTGTTATATGGATCCAGATCTCAGCTTATGAAAAAACGGCATATCCTTCATCCCACGGACCTCAAGAAGAAATCTCACAAACTATGTTACTTCTTTGATCAAACTATAGAGCCATCTTCCCAAACCAGAGAATGTAGCAAACAAAATTTTCAATAACGATCAGATTACGAGTTCATCACTCCACGAGACACATTGAAGACCAAATTACAAATTTAAAAAAGCTTGCCTACAAAATCCTCTCAAAATATTTTCCATCGTTGTCCAATTATTTTATCCAAGCTTCTCTCAATGTTCACAAATCTGTTATGGAACAGTTAATTCGACTGTAGAAATATGTGGAACCATGGTAAATAATTTATCTAAAATACACAAGTGCGTTATTTTGTGATCAATTTTTTCATTTATTTCCTTCTCTAAAAACGGACTTGCAGGAAAAAACAAACAAAAAGTTGCCGTATAATGCGAGATTTTTTTATAGACCCAGGGCTGAAGATGACGAGAAGCCCAAACGTGCAAGAAAAAGAAGACCGAATGATAAGAAACAACTTACTAAAATACGGTGCACATACTAGTCACACCCTTCATTTGATTAAATCAAAACGATTTGTGAGATTTTCTTCCCTACACGTGCCATACAAAATTATTTTCAATTCATATTTTATGCATATGTACTTTTTTGCATAGATGGCCCAGTGAAAATCAGTACATATGTTGATATAATTTTTATTTTCATACAAATTTCTCAATTACACAATTTTACACAATAACAAAACTGATTAGAGTTAAAGTAATCATGAGCCACTGAGTGCGTGTACGGCGAGTAAAAAGATTAGAAGCAGTGCTACCTTTCTTTTTCAAACTTTGAATCATGTCAATATCAAGTTTGTAAAAAATGGAAAATTTCAGAATACTTCCGCAGTCGGGCGCTTCTTCCCCAACGCCATAGAATTTCTTCTCGCATATCAAAGGATTGCCGGCGTCGCCCTTGCAAAGACCGCCATTACTATTATCTGGCACTCCGAGGCAAAATCCACCCGACTTTTCAACTTTGAAAGAGCAAAACCCATTGTTGCACAGTCTGTCCTGACAATCTTTCATCGATATAAACTGCACCGCTCTTTTGTTCAAAGAAGGAGGAAATAGTGTTGGATCTCCCAATTTGACGTCGTACTTCTTGGCTCCCCAACCGTAGGTGTAGCAATACTTCGTTACGCTCCCTTGCGCATATTCAATGTTTTCGGAGAACTTCTTGAATAATGTTTCATATTCGTCCTGAGATGTGGGCATTCCAGCGGCATAGTCGGGTCCGCCGGCTGCTGGAAAAGCCATCGACAACTCGAAATATCCCATGCCGAACTGCCATATGCCGATATCTGGATCCATATCACACCGACTATCCTTCCAGAAAGACTGCACATCTCTAAGACGTTTTTGGTCCTGCGTTTCCCATTTTTTGTCACCAGCCATGACAACGTATTCAGTGCCTTGTTGTAAATCCGCATCGTTCGGCAAGCCAAAGATAACGCAACTGCAAGCAGTGACCCCGTGCTTCAACGTTACAAGAGTCACCCCGCAGAAATGCTTGCGGTCTGCTTTTCTTTGCAAGCTACCGACTAGCGTTCCTTCATTTACCATCGCGTCTATACCTCCTGTTAGTCGTTTCCTTCTTATCAAAGGTCTAATTGATTTAGAAGACAAGTTCACTTTCCCCACCATGCCGTACGTCTCGTTCTGCTCGTTGATGTTCATTCCTAAAACACATTTTATAATAAATAATACGCTAAATATAAAAAAATTCATTTTATAAACTTTAGAAGTAAACAATCATGTGAAAGAAGTAAAATCATCTGCTTATCCTTTTCGAAAACATTGCCTTCAAACTGGCAGTACAACCGTGCAACAATCGCTCAGTATTATGGACTGAAATCAAAGTCAAAAATATAATAAAATCGTACTTAGATTTTTTTTTTTATATCCTTAAATATGTAACTATGGTATGAACCACAAAATAGTTTTAATTGAACGGAGTTTAAAAATCGTCCCTAGAGGCATCTAGCAGACTTGGCAAGTACTGCCAGTTAACACTCGACCCACCAGGTTTTCATTACATTCCCGTCAGGAATCCATCCTCTAAATGCAGAAAAGTTATAAAACGTTTATTATGGACAATAGAAATGTAAATATGTGAAAAATTATGTTTACCTAAGAGTTCCTTACAATTTTAACGTTAAATTTAATAAAGCAACTAATGATTTTATTAACAGGGGTAATCCAGCTCTAGGAAAAGTTAAGGAAATTCTTTTTAAGGATGGGTCTGCCTCAATGAAGTGCAAAATCAAATCAACATGATTAATAAAAATATATGATGTATTATAAAATCCATTTAAACAAATTTGGAAGTAAATTATCACCTGACAGAAGAAAATTCACCTGTATATTTTTTTAAATGCATCCCTATTTTTGGGATGTCTTGAACAATAACATCATAATTGCTCATGCATTGTCGACCATAATTAAGAACAAAAATATAATAACACCATGCTTTTATCATATCATCTAATATTATAGACTTGGTAAGTTAACACCTACTTAGCAACTATCAGGTGTACACAGTAGTAAATATATATTTTTAATTATAAGAATTTCAAAAGTAAATAAAGGAAAACTGGTTGTAAGAACAGAAAAAGTTTACATTTTTTATTGAGGCAGGTTCAGCTTCAATCTTTTTCAGATAATTCATTTTAATGGGTTTTTGTCATGATTTTTCTTGAAAATATAAATTTCGATTAGTTTTGCCTAATTTGTTGCCGTTCTGTGCTATCCTATTGTCATAGCTAATCATATGAGTGCTGCCTATTTGTCTTATGATGCTATTGCTGGTGGTAATAAGTACTTTGCATTATTATTATTATTTTTTTTTATGTAGACGCAAAGATCAAGGGGACGTATTCCTAATAGATCAGGGTAACATAAATGCTATTTTGTTCAACATCTCACCAAATGATTTTTCTATCAAGTTCTATCCTTATTTTGTCTGTCTAAAAATAAAACATATGAACAAATTATTCCATTAATAATAAATTTCTCCATCAATAAAATATTCCCCCAATCTCAAAATTTTACATAACAGACGAGTGTTAACATAATCATGATTCACTGGGTGCATGTGCTGTGGGAAAAAGGATAAAAAGCAGTGCTCTTCTTTATCAACTTTTGGACAACGTTAATATCCAGTTTGTAAAAAATTTGTAAACATTTCCGCAATCGGGAACGCCTCATATTTTATTCTCAATTTTTGTCATCGGCCATGACAATCTAGTGCCTTGGGGCTGACTCAACTGCAAGCAGAGACCCAGTGCTTCAATGTTATAAGAGTCTCCCCGCAAAAATGCTTATGGTCCGATTTTCTTTGCAAGCTACCGACCATCCCGTCTACACCTCCTTTTAGTTTTTTCCTTCTTATAAAAGGTCTCATCGGTGCGGCTTCGTCAGTCGGCTTTCAACGCATTTTACTCTTGGGTAATCATCCATAAAATCCCATTCAATAGTAAATGTACTCAATAATATTTTTAAAAAATTAAATTTAGGAGTAAAAGCTATAATAAATTTATCTGTATATCGTTTCCAAATGCATGAAATATCCGGTGCTCTATTTAAAAAGACAAAACTTCTCTGGATTTTATTCAAATTCAAAATTATGACCACCGTTGGAAAACTGGATTGTTCCTCTTTCAGCCTATGTCAACAATATTTACGTTTATTTGGCATTACAAGGGAGAAAAATAAGGACGAAATAAACAAAAGCTACACAAACGTTTTATTTATTTTTTAATTTTTTTTTAAATCTCCGGTTCCAATTTATTTGCAGAGGTGACGTTTGCGCCATTACATGTAGTTTGTAGGGTTCTAGGTGTGATTACTGTTTCGACGTTATCACCATTGTTGTGATTTTCAAAAACAAACTCTGAAGCATAAATTTTGTGTGAAAAACTAATATTTGGTTTTCCCAAAAATTCATATTCGGTTTTTTTTTTGGTATATATATATATCNGTGTGTGTGTGTGTGTGTGTGTGTGTGTGTGTGTGTGTGTGTGTATTAACCTGTTTTGCTAAGTCCCTCGGTCACTATCTCAAAATTGTATTGGGCAGCTAACCCATAACAAAGCCATATATCGCTACATACATGATACAAACTTTAATTAAAGCAGATCTTAACATATAAAACTTTGAAAAAAGATTATTAAATTGAGTGAAGAATTTCTGTATCGTTTTTATTTTATTGTTTTGCAATTACCAATAAAATTTTAACAAAAGATATGTGATAAGTAAATTTTGTTTGATGTATTTTTGAAAGATACACAGATGATTATTATAGCTTGTATTTCTAAATTTGCTAAAATGGTATTTTTTATACTATGTGGACATTTATTTTTGTATGGGGTTTTAGGTATGGCCGTCCACGAGCAGACTGACAGGTACAGCAGGCTGGGGAACATGAACTTGTCTTCTACATCGATGAGACCTTTGATAAGACGGAAAAGACTAACGGGAGGGATAGAGACGTTTCCAAACGAAGCGATGATGGTCGGTAGCTTGCAAAGAAAATTAGACCGGACGCACTTTTGCGGGGTGACTCTTATAACAATGAAGCACGGGGTCACTGCTTGTAGTTGCGCCATATTCGGTTTGCCGACAGATGCGGATTTACCTCAAGGCACTGATTTCGTCGTCATGGCCGGAGATAAGCAGTGGAATACTAAAGACAAGACACGTATCAGAGATGTGAAATCGTTCTGGAGAGATTATCGGTGCAGAATGGATGAAGACGCCGGCATATGGAAATTTGGCATCGGGTATTTCGAGTTGTCGTTGCCTTTTCCATCAGCCGGCGGACCCGAATATGCGTCTGGGATCCCCACAACTCAAGCCGAATACGAAAAGGCTTTCAAAAAGTATTACGAAAACGTCAAATTTTCGCAAGGGAGCGTAACAGATTATTGCTACACCTACGGATGGGGGGCCAAGAAGTACGACGTCAAATCGGGGGATCCAACAATATTTCCTCCGGCTTTGAACAAAAGAGCGATGCAGTTTTTATCGATGAAGGACTGTCAGGACAGACTGTGCAGCCATGGGTTTTGCTCCTTCAAAATTGAAAAGATTGGCGCAGTCTGCCTCGGAGTACCGGATAACAGTAACGGTGGCGTGTGCAAAGGCGATGCCGGCAATCCTCTGATGTGCGGAAATAAATTTTTTGGTGTCGGCGAAGAAGCGCCCGATTGCGGAAATATTCTCAGATTTGCCATCTTTTACAAACTGGATATTAGTGTTATTCAAACTTTGAAAAATGGCGCCGCTCCTAGTCCTTTTTCTCACCGCACTCGCACTCAGTGGTTCATGATTGGTTTAACTCTCGTCACATATGTAACAGTGTAAGATTGTGCAACCAAATTTCGTATTAAAATAAAACACGTTATAACATATGTATGTAAATATACCATATGAGTTTTCATTTAACAAAAAGAAGAACCACTATTTAAAAATCTGTTTAGCCCAATGCCATCTACAAAATATTAATACAGATCTATTAAAAAACCTAAATGTTTTTTGAGATCTGTACTTTTATATTATAATATTTCCATATTATTATGCCAATTGTATTTTTTACCGATAAAATTAAAATGATGACTAAATTTAATTAGTAGCGAGTACGTCTACATGTAGAGAAATTAATTTTTTATAACGTTTATTTGATATTTACTACTAAATAAAAAATATTGCATTAAGAAAATATGTTGTGAAGGGTGTTCGCCTACTTGTGTTACAAACTTGACCGGTAGATTCTACATTCAAAATGGAACCAAAAAATCTTAACTAACTATGGTCCGAATCTCAACGGTATCGGAGTTATTCCACTTTTTCTGATTCTTTAAGATTTCACGACCATGCTTCAAATAAACAATTATATCTCCAAAACTAAATGGTTTTGGACAAATCCGTTGATACCAATGAAAACTACGATAAATTTCGAATAAGGTCATCAATACTAAACTCGTAAACGTTGGTGAAATAAGGATTTTAGTAGCCTGAAGTTTGAAAAATAATTTTTGTTTAAATCCATTATATTTCGTGGTCCGATTGACCAAATTACTTCTTTCGATTAATTAATCTTTATGTAAAGTATTGGTTGAAATGAAAAAGTTAGTGTCACGAGCGGGATTCGAACCCACGATCTTCGGCTAAATACGCCGCTGCTCTACGATAACTAAAGTGGTAGAGAAGCGGCGTATTTAGCCGAAGGTCGTGGGTTCGAATCCCGCTCGTGACACTAACTTTTTCATTTCTTTTGTCAATGTTGAAAAACTTACGGTGATTCGACACTACTATTTCCAAACCTAGAGACTAGCAAATTTCAGAAAACGTACTCCATTCAATATCCTTTTTAGTGGTGCAATTGCTTTTTAATTACTTTTTTCAAAGATGAAGAAATGATGAAGGATAGGAAAAAACCGTGGTCGTCGTATTGGTAAGGTGGAAAGAAACGTAAAGAAATTTTGAATGAATGAACTAAAAACGTTTTGAATCTTAAAATTCTTTCATTCCGGGGAATAATAAAACAATATCCTTTAATCAAAGGTGTAGTCGTGTTGCTAAATACGTAAACAATTGCACTATTTCGGTGTCGATCCCAAATTAAAAATCGTTTAATAAAATAACATTTAACAAAGATGACCCTCAAGGTCAGTGTTAGGCAATGGGATTCCATTTATACTCACTGCAGGACATATATTTGTACGTAAGGTAAAATTTGTCTGTACACTTTTCGTTAGGTCTATCTTCGTTCGCTAGTTTGTGAACCATACTGTTAATTCATTCAGGTATTGTTTCAAGTGTTGAGTGTCAATTGAGGGATCCGAATCACGTGTAAGAATCACTGTATCATCAGCGAATGTATGTGTTGAAATGTTAACTTGTGTAGGAATATCTGCAGTGTATATTGAAAATAGAAATAGGCCAAGTATGCTTCCCTGAGGAACACCCCTAATGAAGAAAAAGAAAATAAATTTTATTCTGGGGCTTAAAGCCCCCTTTAATAACGAAACTACATAATAGAGCCGTATCTCAACACAAATACAAAAGAACAATTACTATTGCAAAGTTACAAAACCAATTAAAAAATATGTACATTTTAAACTTATACTGAAAATATAGTGTATAAAATTAAAACAGACAATTATTCTTAACAATACGGATGATTTAATAATATTTTTGCAATTCTGGTGATAAGTTACAATGACAGGTGGTAATCAAATAGACGGGTCTTAAAGGTGGGAAGGGAAGAAGCGCAGCGGACAGAGTGAGGAAGGGAATTCCAGAGGCCCTATGAACGTGGTGAGGAAGTAACACCGAAAGCAGAAGTTCTGTGTTTAGGAGGATAGAGATCAGAAGAGCTAGAACGAGTATGACGGTTGTGTACGGAATACCTAAAGGTGAGAAGAGCATATATACGGGAGGGGGAGGGGGAAGATATTGTTTGGTAAAGGAAGGAGCCAAGGAAGTACAACCTGCGGTGGGAAGGGTATAACCACTTCAAGCTAAAGAACGTACTACATATCAGTGGGACCTCCTTAGAGAGCCGAAAATAAAGCGTACAAAACAATTCATTTAGCGCTTAAGTAATGCGTATAAAGGTGAGAATTCAGTTCCCTATTGGAATTTTCAATTATTGGCAATAATCGTCCGAGTAGTTTTTCTAGAATTTTGGCGATAGAAAGGAGACTAGGTCGATAAGAACGAGGAAGAGCAGAAGGTTTATTTGAATTATGAACCATTTTAATTACAGAGAACTTCCATTGCAATGGAAAATATGTTGTCCTGAGTACGGCGCTCTCTACGTATGTTAAGTAAACTAAGCCTCTGTGGGCCTAAATTAGTTTAAAAAATGTTTTTACTCAAGAGGGGGATGAACCTGGGATTGATTTTAATGAATCCTTTTTGGAAATAATATGGGTCGAAAAACATTAGACGCGACCGAACATTCATGCAAATACACCATAGAAGAAATATTTCAAGTTATTTTGTAAGCATATTTGTACTATACCTATTATTTCTGATACCTTTTTTAATAAAAAAAAAAATAAATATAGAATGTTGAAAATTTGTAAGAGAGTTCTTGCCAATGGGCCCCTACAAGCCAAGAAAAAATATTTTAATTAAATTATGTATACCTATTCTTCTAATTATGACTTTCTACCTTTGTTGCGCATATATTTCAAAGTTATTATGTATATAACAGTCAATTTGTGTTCGTTCTTTTAAACGAACATCAAAGAAGAATAAGCAGGATTGCATTACTTGACATTAAATGTAGGTCAAGTAGATAGTAAACAAAACACATGTTGTCCTCATTTTTTTCCAAAAAGCCCAAACATGGCGATAACTTTGAAACGTCTACACCCATCTGGTGGAAACTTTACAACAATTAAGAACTCTACTCTGTAGGAAATGGTATAAACGTCGTTTCCATCTAAATTAGAACTGGAGATGAAAAATAAAACGTTTGAGGTGTTTTTGTTGATTTCACCTTATTCGTCTCACTTGTAATGGTATAAAATCTATACATTGTTGACACAGGCTGAAAGACGAATAATCCAGCTTTTCATCGATGAACATAATTTGGATAAAGTCTGGGGAGGTTTTAAATTTTTTAGGGGAACACAAATCATCGTAGAAAAAATTGCCCAGGCCAAAAATGAGTTTCTTTTATTTGCAATGAATATCAGTATTCAATTTTTTTCTTTTTAAATAAAAGCGTTCAACACTTAGCGTTTTAATGCGCCTTAAACAGACCAGAGATTTATATAATTTTGCCTTTTGGCGAATTAAAACTCATATGATTTATTTACATATGTATGTTATAACGTGTTTTATTTGAGTATAAAATTAGGTATTTCCAAAACTTTACACTGTTACATATCCGATGAGAACTAAACTAATCATGATCCACTGACTGCGAGTGATGTGAGAAAAAGGACAAGTAGCAGCCCCCTTTTTAAAACTTTGGATAACGCCAATATCAAGTTTGTAGAAGATGGCGAATTTGAGGGTCATCCCGCAATCGGGCATTTCTTCGGCAACACCAAAAAATTTGTTCCCGCACATCAGAGGATTGCCGGCATCGCCTTTGCAGATGGCACCGTCTTTGTTGTCTGGTACTCCGAGGCAAACTGCACCTGCCTGATCGATTTTGAAAGCGCAAAACCCATTGCTGCACAGTCTGTCCTGACAATCCTTCAACTCTATGAACTGCATTGCTCTTTTGTTCAAATAGAAAGGAAATAACCAGGGATTGCCTGTTTTGGGATCGTACTTCTTGGCTCCCCAGCCGTACGTGTAGCAATATTTCGTTCTACTCCCTTGAGCGTATTCGACGTTGTCGTAGAAACTCTTTAAGGCCACTTCGTATTCTTCCTGAGTTTTGGGCATTCCGGGGGCATAGTCGGGTCCGCCCCAGTCTGGAAAAGGCATCGACAATTCTAAATATCCCAAGCCGAATTTCCATATGCCCGTTTCTTCATCGATTTCACATCTATCATCCTTCCGGAAAGACTGGACATCTCTCAATCGCGATTCACGTTTTGTGTCCCATCTCTTTTCTCCAGCGACAACTATAAACTTACTGATTTCTAACAAACCAGCTTCTGTCGGTAAACCCATGACAACGCAGCTGCAACCTGTGATCCCGTGCTTCAACGTTATAAGAGTTACCCCGCAAAAATGTTTACGGTCTGCTTTTCTTTGCAAGCTGCCGACCATTGATACTTCTTTCGGTTGAGTTTCTATTCCGCCCGTTAGTCTTTTTCTCCTTATCAATGTTGATAATGGTGTAGAAGACATGTTCACATTCAACAGCGAGATGTTCGATTCTTTCTGCTCATCCACTATACTAAAAACCTCTTTGAACAATAAAAGTATACTTAATATTAAAAATTCCATTTTAATAAATTGAGAATTAAACCATGAGCCGAGAGGAAAATAATCACCTGTACATTTTTCAAAAATGCTGAGCAAATACATCCGTATGGCAAGATTGTTAATACCACGTATTGAAACCGTAATCAAGAACAAAATCTAATAAAAATAATTCACTTTCTTGAATCTTTGTGTTATTATTAAACTGCCGAACATAGTTAAGTTAAATTCGAGATAAATAATCAGGGATAGTCGCAAAATGCGTTGTCACAACAATCCATCATTGAAAGAGTGCTAGGTTCGAATCTCATAAGGCCCTGAATTCAAACGGGAAGTACTTAAAATACAAATGTACTTTTTGGTTCCTTTTTGAATGTAGAATCCACTGGCAAATTGGCAAAGGACTAATTTTTCCTATCTAATTAATTAGTTAGTATGCTTAATAAATCTTTACAGGAAATGATTTCTTTTTGTTGACAACATTGACCTGTCCAAGTGGACCAGTTTTATGCATATTTTAACTAGTGAACTGACGATACTGTCTGATGTTTTTCCCCATAAATTTGTTAATAATTGAATAATTAAATTAGAAATAAAATAATATCAAAATACCTGGGCGTTGATTGGGGAGAAAAACTAAAGGTAAGGAAAACAAATAGATGTACTTGTGCTGATATGCAAGTAGAATCTCAAAAACAAAATTTGTTGTGGGACCTAAGGCACTCCTAAAACTTTACAAAAGCGTGTATCTCAGTATAGTCTCTCATTGGTCAAATAGTCGGTCCAAAAATACAACGGAAGAAAAGCATTACTTTGAACAGCTAAAGCATGTAAACAAAAAGTATCGAAGTATCAACACAGGCACAGGATGCAGTAGGAGCAACACGATTTAGAGCTATAAGCAGCAAATCCTTTGAAATGACCTCTTTTACCATCAAATTAACCATTTTTTTCCGCATCAAATTGATTTTATAAAATTTGAAATTAACCTTTTCATATGCAAATTAACCGTTTTCCAGCATAGGATTAACTCTTTTAATTTCAAACTAACCCATTTTCCGTCAGAGTAGCCCTTAGCAATTAGCATCAAATTAACTCTTTTTAATTTCAAATTAATCTTTTTATTTCAAATTAACCCTTTTTCAAATCAAATTTACTATTTTCATTTAACATCAACCTTTTAATTCTAAATTAATTTTTTCCATCGGATAAACGCTTTTTTATTTCAAAGTAACTTTTTTTGCAAAAAACTAATCCTTTTTAATTACAAATTAATCTTTTAAAATTAAAATTAACCCTATTTCGTATCAAATTGTCATACTTAACCCTATTGACTTCAATTAATAAAATTACTATTATTATTATTTAATATTTATGAAAGGTGTTGGTCGAGATAAAAAAGTCAGCGTCACGAGCGGTATTCGAACCCACGACCTTCGGCTAAATACGCCGCTACTCTACCACTTGAGCTATCTTGACTTCGATCCGTCTCGGACACTAACATCCCATCTCAACCACACCTTTTCAATTTTCCCTCCTTTTTGCAATTTTTCAAATGTCGTGTAATCTATTGATTCTCGGCGAAAAATGAAATGGCCACGGAGAGCTTTCGTGAAGATATACTTCACTTAACTCATTAAATTCACTAGTTTTCGTGTTCCGCTTGACCAATTAATATTTTTCAATTAATTAAGGTTTTTAGTTTATATAAAAAAGTCAGCGTCACGAGCGGGATTCGAACCCACGATCTTCATCTAGATACGCCACTACTCTACCACTTGAGCTATAGATCCACTCGGACACTAACTTCCCATCTCAACCACACCTTTTGAATTTTCCCTCCTTTTTGCCATTTTTCAAATATCGTGTAATCTATTTGATTCTCGGCGACAAATGAAATGGCCCCGGAGAGCTATCGTGAAGATATACTTCAGTTTAATTATTAAATCCATTACAGTTCGTGGTCCGATTGACCAATTAACATTTTTCAATTAATTAATATTTATGAAAGGTATTGGTCGAGATATAAAAGTCAGCGTCACGAGCGGGATTCGAACCCACGACCTTCGGCTAACTCACGAACCCACGCCGCTACTCGACCACTATCGTGACCAATACCTTTCATAAATATTAATCAACTGAAAAATGTTAATTGGTCAATCGGCCCACTAACTGTAATGAATTAATTATTATACATATATAATAATAAATAATAATACAACAATAACTAAATTATTATTTAATCCACCTTGCTTATTCTTGACGAGTATACTTTGTTGGAATCAATGATATTTTTCAGATCTCGCTAACTGAAAAACCAAAATTATGAAACAAGGCGGAATTATTGATCTTTTGATCATATTTGTTATTTTGCTGTAAACGGTATTTTTCAATATATCCTGTATTTGGTTTTACTGAGGGACCACCTCCTCTAAATGATCAACAATATTTTATATTCCCCGCCTTTCATTATTGCGAAATTCGAAGTTTCGAGGTAAAGCGTATGTAAATTAATCAGGAGCACAAGATTACAAAGGGGGTTGTTACAGGACAGGGATAATATCGGGGATTGAAACGGAAGGCAGGCGTAGTAGGCCACCGGTCCTGGTGGGGACTCGGCCACCCCTCCCGCGGCGTTCACTTGATGCGACGCCGCGGACCCCACTTCAGCCAGTCTCCATCCACATGGCAAACTGTCGGTTTCGCTTTGTTTCCTTTTATTTTGACTTCCAACTTCGCCGTCTTCCGATCGCCATGCACTCTCGGACGTCTGGAAGGCTCGCACGCTAAACGACCACCCCCAAAACCGCCTCACGATGTCTATGAAGGTGAGTCCTAGCTTATAACGATTTTCACCCCTTTCAACCCTCCCGGCATTCCTGTTTCCCGCATTCTAGACCTTACTCTCTTCCTTTGTTACAAGTTTCTCCAATAAAAATAATTTATACTGGTCTATAAATCTATACAAGACACGCATAACGATTTGAAAGAAACTATCTTTATCTCCATTATATTTATAATATATAAAAACGTCATATTATCCCAAATTTGTTTTAAAGCAAATATTTACTAGATTACAGTTGCACTGTATTTTCCTATTTAACAACCTAGCTTCATCCTATCTTATCATAGTTTTGGCAAATCTGAATCAATACGTACATTTTAGTCCCTCTGGCCAGACGATGTCAACAAGCGTTCCAATTTATTCCAAGCTTCATGAATTACCAGGGAATGGCAACATATTTAACTTATTTATGAAGAGAATTAGAATAGTGTAAGTTGAGAAACAGGCTAAAGGGTTTGTTTCAGGCGAATTATTATGAAAAATAAATTACTTTTTTACAATGCACTATTTGTAATGCTAGCATGTTAGAATGTAATTTCAACAAAAATAAATCACAGTGCTTTTCACCATTCAGTAATATGTAAGGGTTGGTTACAAAAAAAGCAAAAGGCTGTGATTTGACAAAATGTGTTGAAACATAGCAGGAAACAACTTAAAAAAGTGGTGAATTGCACTTAATCTAGAACTAACACAAAATTAATACAATAAATAAAACTTTATTCTTATTTTGTTGTCCCATTTTATGATTATTTTGGCAAGTAACACTATATTGTGAATTTTTAAGCCCCATTGTCTAGACTAGGAGTCTGCAAACAATTTTAGAAAATGGCCAAATTGTAAAACAATCAGGCTAGTTGAAGACAAGGTTGAAACTTGAATATTTTTTTAATAGTTAAAGAAAAAGAGAAAACTAATTTTACTAAGGTAATATTTTTAAATGCAGTATATTTATACTTATTATTTCTGACATTTAATTTAATTTTTAATAAATATAGAACGTTAAAAATAATTTGTACGAGCGCCCATGCCAATGGACCCTAAGCGACGAGAAAAAATAAATGTATTTCAATTGAATTATTTATATTAAATTAATTACATTTTATATGATTTTCTATCGTTGTATTACATTTATTTCCACGTGAATAAATAGCAGTAGATTTTTTTTACGTAAGTTAAGAAAACAGAATTACAAACAAGTTACAAAAACTAAAGGGCACTTCTGCTTCCAGTAAAGTAGCCCCCCAAAAAAATTTGACTTTGGAAAACCAACTCGGATTCGTTATAAGTACCCTGTAAAGCCAATTGATACAAATTTTCGGCGTTCCACTAAAAAATGCATGTCATTTCGATTTTATCGAAATTCAACATTATTACAAAGGCTGGGAAGTACAATATTTCTTCTTTCAGGCTATGTCAACAATATTTTGAGTTTATGCCATTATCAGAGAGAAAAATAACAATGAAAACAATAAAAACTCATTAAAGGTTTTATATTCACCTTCGGTTCTAATTTATTTACATAGATAAAAAAGTATTTAAGGATAGAGCCAGTTTGATGGAAAAGAAAATACTCAGTTCACTCATCGCGCTTTCAGCTCAAACTCAAAAATCCTGGCAATCCGATTTTCTTTACAAGCTACAGACAGACTATCGTGGGTGGTTAGTTTCCAGGGGATCTTTCCCGCGTTTTAATCTTTTTGTTCTTATCAAAGATCTTTTAATGATAATTAATTTAATTTGGAATTAAAAAGAGTTCATTTGGTGCCAAAAAGGGTTAATTTGACGGGCAAAAGCTTTAAATATAAAAAAAGTTACATAAACCAAAAGACGCTTTGAGTAAAATAGGTTAAAAATTGTTTTTGAAAAAAAACAAAAAACAAATTCGGATAATTCGGATTCGTTGTTAGCACCCTATAAAAATATTGAATAAGAATATTCATTGCAAACAGAAAATATTCATTTTTGACTTGGACAGTTACGTTTTAGAGATTTCATAATGTTTGTAAAGTTTCCGCTAGATCGGTGGATTCGTTTCGAAGTTATCTTCATTTTCGAAAAAAAGGAGGCCAAAATGTTTCTCATTTATTTGCAGAGACGACGTTTGTACCGTTATTTGTAGTATATCAAGTTGCTTTAAACCCTTGTAAAGTTTCATGTGGATCGGTTTGGGCGTTTCAAAGTTTAACCATGATTGTGATTTTCGAAAAAAATCCGAGGCATAGGAATTCGAAAAATTTGACGAAACAATATTTTTTGACTTTTCCAAAACATAGTATCGGTTTTTGGGTGGTACAAAAAACTAATATCAATTTTGTTTCTTGCTAAAACAATATTTTAATCTATTGTAATGCTGCTCTACTAACCACTTCAGCTATCGTACAATAGTACCAGCGTATTGATCCGAAGGTCATGGGTTCGAATTCCACTCGTGACACTAGCTTTTTCATCTCAACCAAGTCCTTAGATTAAAAAGAATAATTAATTCTTTTACAATTGGCCAATTATGCCTACTAAAACCATGCATGGATTAGTCTGCTTTTCTACGGACGCTGTCATAAATTATGCATTTTAATATCAACGATACCCATAGCTTTGCCGTGGCTAGCTGCGAAGTATTGGGTTGTCCGGAAAATAATGCAGGATTTTGGTATTAAACAAAAAAAAAGAAACTAGTTACTTTAAAGCAATGTTCTTTAAAATAATTTCCCATACTCTCAATACATTTCTCCCAACGTGTTGGTAACTTATTAATTCCGTCTGAGTAGAATTCAGAAGTTTTAGAATTGATAAAGTCAATAAATGCATTTTCCAGTTCCGTTTGATTTTTGAATATTATGTGTTGTAAGTAGTGGTCCAGGTGTCTAAAAAAATGGTAGTCAGTAGGCGAGAGGTCCGGAGAGTAGGGTGGGTGAGGCAAAGTTTCATAGCCAAGCTCCAATAATTTTTGTGACGTTACACGTGACACATGTGGTCGAGCGTTGTCATGCAACAAAATGGGCCCTTTCCGATTGACCAAAGAGGGCTTCATTACTGCCAATTTCTGATGCATGGTATTAATTTGGTTACAGTATGATTCAGCATTGATGGTTTCGCCAGGATTTAAGAAGCTGTAGTGTATTAAACCAAATGAAGCCCACCATACCGTAACCATTACCTTTTTTTGATGAGTTGGGGGCTTTGGAAAATGTATTGGAGCTTCTCCTTTGTCGAGCCACTGTCCAGAATCCACTTTTCGTCACATGTAACAATTCTGGCCAGAAATGGGTCATTTTTGTTTCGACAAAGAAGTGATGCACAAACATCAAAGCGCTGATTTTTTTGGCGATCGTTTAATGAGTGTGGAACCCAATTTTCGAGTTTTTTCACTTTTCCAATCGCCTTGAGGTGGTCAGCGACGGTCGTTTTACTGACTTTGAGTTGCTCTGCAAGTTCTCGAACAGTTGTTTTGGGGTTTTCTTCCACCACTGATCGCAGAACATCATCATTAAGAGAGGAAGGCCTTCCACGACCTTCTTCATCTTCAAGGCTGAAATCTCCCTCCCGAAATTTTTTAAACCACCTTTGCACAGTGCACTCATTAACACAACCCTCGCCCCAGACTTGGTTAATGTTTCTAGCCGTTTGGGCTCCGCTTCGGCCGAGTTTAAACTCGTAAAAGAAAATCGTACGAAATTCTCGCTTTGACATTATAAGGATGACTGAATTATTTCCAAGTAGCGGAATGCTACAGAGGTAAACAAACAATATCATTTGGAAGAGGATTAATAAGTGTTGACATTCATACAAATGAGTAATCCTGTAAACGTAAACAGAATATTTTATATAGATTTTTTTTAATGAAAACTTAAAATCCTGCATTATTTTCCGGACAACCCAATACAATTTTGACCTAGCGATTAGCAAAACAGGTTAAAATATTTTTTAGCAAGAAATAAAACTGATATTCGCTTTCTCACTCCAAAACCCCTGAATACAAATTTTTTTGAAAAAAGTCCTCTTACATTTTTCGCCTTCGATTGTGTTTTCTAACACAAAATTATTATAATTATCAAACGATTCCATCAATCTATAGAAAAATTTTATATGAACCCTTGAGCCTTAAACTCGGCCTCCGTAAGTTAAACAGCGTTTTTTGTTTCAAATAGACTTCCACTTCTTCCAGAATCTATTTTCCGATCCATTTTTTCTCTTTTGGTAGTGTTACTTCTGCCCACAGCTCTAAATCAAGTTGTGTGGGCCATCCTGTGCCGGTGTTGATTCTTTGATAATTTTTGTTTATATCCTTTAGCTGTTCAAAGTAATGCTTTTCTTCGGCTTTGTTCCGTTGTATTTTTGGACCTACTATTTGAGGAGAGACTAAACGCGTTGAGATACACGCTTTTGTAAAGTTTTAGGAGTGCCTTAGGTCCCACACCCAATTTTGTTTTTGAGATTCTACTTACATATTAGCATAATTACATCTGTTTGTTTCCCTTTAGTTTTTCTCTCCACTCAACGCACAGGTATTGTGATATTATTTAGTTCTAATGTAATTATTCAATTATTAATAAAATTATGGGGTAAAACATCAAACAGTTCACAGTTTAAAATATGCATAAAACTGGTCCAATTGGTCAATGTTGCGAAACGTCAAAAAGAAATAATTTCCTGTGAAGATTTATTAAACATACTAACTAATTAATTATATAGGTAAAATTAGTCCTCGAACGCGTTAAGAAACAACATATATAAATTTTTTATACATGAAAATACGTTGACGAAAAAAAAAGCTGATTAATAGATGAATCAGTGTATCTTAAATAGTTATATGACTCTCCTTAAAAATATTGTTCGGTCTAAAAATTATATATTTAAAAAAATAATATATGCTGAGATTATTGAACCCCTTTGCCGCCATGGGTGGTTTATTCGTTATGCATTTATTCATGGAAGGAGCAGAAATGTGATGCATGGGTTGATTATGGATATTACACAAATCGTGGA